AGCATCCAAGACCCCCTCCTTCCACAGGAGCCATCTCGCAAATGGGTGTCAATTCAGATTCAGATGGCAGGAATCTGACTGCCTACACAAAGTACCAGCTCGTCTCCCTACCAAAGTGATACCAACTTATCTACTCGCACAGAACATACTTTCGAACTACTAGGGGGGAAGCTGAGGCAAGTGACGGGATCTCACCCGGCCATGCAGTGTGCCAGAACTCAACCTGCTGGACCAGACCATGTCCATCATCATTAAGTCCAGAGGTGGTATTCAGTCGGTTCGGACCGGTTCACCCAAACGAGTAGCAGAAAGCAGCGGAAAGCACGCACACAGGCAAAGAACATGTATGGAAGGCCAGGCGCATGTGAGGAAGTGGCTGGTGCACCCGTGAAGCAAGTGGGCATGCGTGCAGTGAACCGGTGGTAACAAAATGTGAAGCCCACCGCTGATTAAGTCGCTGATCCACTGTGCATCTTTTACTGGTTCACAATCTGTCTGGGAACCAACCATTACAGGCTTCTTCAGTTTGGACTTTGCATAAGGATGAACCAAGCTAGGCATATCAACATAGTTGTCCAAGCCTAACTAATTCTAGATTATTCGGTAAAGCTTAGTGAAGTAACTAAGTAGCCTACGCTGTAGCCTTAAATGTGAACCCAGCTGCTGATCTATGAAGCTTGCATGCTAGGAGACCATTTTGCATAAATACAGCATTCTTTTGCACCATTTTCTGCCTATTATATGCAAGAGAGCAAAGCAAGATTTCAACAGAATGTCATTTTTTTTAAAAGCGTCTTGGTGCTGAGTATTCTGCTAATGGGCTTCATTTGGTCCAAAGAAAGTAGCACATTTGCATGCAGCAGAGTTAGAGGCATTATGAAAATGATGTGTTTATGAACTTACATTAAAGCAAAAGAGGTCATTAATGTTTCATTTTTTACAGATAAGTCAGGAAATTACTAAGTGCAAGATTTTAACCACAGCAATAACTCGGCTTCTTCCGAACATCTGGAGCTCATCCATCTTATTTATTTATATATTTATTCCGGGCGACAGGCACGGAAATGCTTGGGCTTCAGCGCAAGCAACTCAGATTGGGACCTTGAAATGTATTGCTATTTTTGAGGCAAGTCGGCAGTTGATTTCCCTTGATAAGGAAAAGTCCCAAAATGGAATACCATGAAATAGGAGGCATTTGTAATCTCTCCCAGGGTATTTCTAGCCAAGCAGCTACAAATGGAAATAAATAGATAAATGATCCGTTTTACAAGGTCTGGAAGGGTGTTCACATAGCATGATCAGGAAACAGAAAAACCCAATCTCTCTTTCACCCTGATTATTGTATATTGGATAGCTTTCTTCAAACAAAAACTATAGAACAGTGTTTCTCAGCCTTGGCTATTTTAAGATGGATGGACTTCAACTCCCAGAATTCCCCAACCAGCTTGCTGCCAAGGTTGAGAAACACTATTTTATAGAACAATTAGCACTAAGAGGAAGTTAAAAAAAAACAATTATTGTATCTGTTGTTGGTTGGTTTCAACAATAAAGAGGAATATTTGTAGCTCAGGGTTGGAATGAAGGGTTCTTATCATTCTCTGAGCTTGGTTGATTGTTGCAGAGGTTTCATTATCGAAACCAAGTAACATCACTAGAACTAATTTGGATAATGAATCGTCTGCAAGAAAATAACCAAGCTCAGAGAGCACCAAGGACTCCTGGTTTCAACCATTCCGGGGAACGCTAATTGGAAATGCAAATCCAGTCCTGCTTTGGATTGCTACGCCCAGGTTCAGGAGAACCCGTGACTAAAGTTAGGGCTAGTTCGGAGAACCTCCAAATCCCACTCCTGGCTGGCACCTCCAACTCCACCCTGCCCTCCCAGGAGTCTCCACATGGCCCGTTTTGGATGCAAGGTAAGTGCAGGCCCAGGTGGCGGCTCGGGGAGGGGGAAAAATTGGCCTCCTGGAAATTCCAGAAGGCCGGGAGCCCAGGGAAGGCAGTTTTCACTCTCCCGGAAGCTCGAGGAAGACCTCCGGAGCCTAGGGAAGGAGAAAATGTTCTCCTCGCCATGGTGCAGGAGGCCGACTAGGCCATGCCCACCATGGCCATGCCCACCCAGCAACCAGGCAGAGAACCCATTGCTGAAATTTTTGAAGCCCGCCTCTGAGGCTCACCCAATGGAATGCCACCAAGTCTAGCTATGGGGAATAGGATGGGAAACTCATAGTAGCAAAGGTAGCCCTGAGAAAAGAGGGCTTTCCAGTAAACACAGACCTATCCAGACACAATTTAATGGAGAAACAGAAACACACACGACTGCAAGAGTTATTTCTCACACAAAACTGCCAAACCCTCTTATGAACACTGCTAGTAAAAAGGCTGGAAAGAATTCAAGTAGCCCTGCTTTGCATAATTTCCCCGGCCTTGTTTAAATCTACATTTTGACCCATTTCGTTGTGGGGGGGGGGTTGGAAATACTGCTCTAGTTGCCAGGAATGTTGGAAAAATTGCAAGGGGAAAAATCCCCCCCGCCAAAAAAAATAAACCCAAGGAGCAGAACTAGCCTCTGTTTGAAAACTGATGGTTTGAAAATGTATAGGTAGTCCTGGGCTGACGACCACAATAATGAGCCCAACATTTCTGTTCTTAAGTTCACTCATATGTTCACATATGAGTGTTGCCACATTTTATGACCTTTCTTGCCACAGTGGCTAAGTGAATCACAGCAGGCGTTAAATTAATAACACGGTTGTTAAGTGAATCTGGCTTTACCATTGACTTTGCTTGCCAGAAGGTCTCAAAAGATGATCACATGACCCTAGGAGCCTGCAACCATCCTAAGTACTAGTCAGTTGCCAACTGTCTGAATTTTGATCATGTGACCATGGGGATGCTGCAAGAGTTGTAGGTGTGGGAAACAGTCATGTCATTTTTTCAGTGCCATTATATCTTCAAATGGTCACTAAATGAACTGTTGTAAGTCTACCTGTATTTGTGTTTTGTTTTGTCTCATTGACTGTGTGCCATCAGGTCAATTGCAACAACTAAACCTGCTGGATAGTTTTTCTCCATGATCATCTATCCCTAACCTGATCCTTTAGGTTTTCCAACAATGCTCCCATGGCCTCTGAAATGGAGTCTCTCAATCTTTCTGCTAATAGCCTTCTTCTCTTTCCTTCCATTTCCCCCAATATTAGAGGCTTTTTTAGAGCTGGGACTTTGTCCAAAGTAAGATAATTGGAGCCTGTTGGAACTATTTAGGTCAGAACAAAATAAGAACAACAGGGATAGTTGTTTATAAAACGATATACAGCATGGCAAAAGTAGATCCCGCCCCCCTTTGCATAAGGTATTAGAGAAATCTAGAGAATAGAATAGAATAGAATAGAATAGAATGAGTTGGAAGACGCCTTGGAGGTCTTCTAGTCCAACCCCGTGCATAGGCGGGAAACCCTACACCACTTCAGACAAATGGTTATCCAACATCTTAAAAATGTCCAGTGTTGGAGCATTTACCACTTCTGGACGCAATTTGGTCCACTGATTAATCGTTCTATCTATCAGGAAATTTCTCCTTAGTTCTGAGTTGCTTCTCTCCTTGATTAGTTTCCACCCATTGCTTCCTGTCCTACCCTCAGGTGCTTTGGAGATTAGCTTGACTCCCTCTTCTTGTGGCAATCCCTGATATTGGAAGACTGCTATCATGTCTCCCCCAGTCCTTCTTTTCATTAAACTAGACACACCCAGTTCCTGCAACCGTTCTTCATGTTTTAGCCTCCAGTCCCCTAATTAATAGAGTAATAAGTATAGAATGGTGACCTCCCAATATCCAATATTGCAACGCAGTCTGTGGCAAACAAAATAATTTACCATTCAGGAAATTGATTCTGGGTTTCTTTTTATGGACAGCCCATGTTTGAACTCAATTTGTCTTTTGTTGGCGTCTCCCACACCACCAAAATCAGTCTCGGTTTTCCTTTGATTTTGGACAGTTGTCCCAACTGACAGTCCAGAACCCTTTATAAAATTGCTTTTTTGACAATTTGGAATTAGAAATAAAAATTGCCTATTTGTTACTCCAAGTGTGGTAACCGCACCAAGCAACCACTCGGGGGAAGGATACTTTTAACAAGCTCAGGCTAAAAGGTTTATTTTTTAAAGGTGCACCACGGTGTTAAGTTAACTTGTAATAATATTGGTGTCCTGGGATGCAGTTTTCATTCTCTGTGGCTACTGATATGTTCTTGTGTTTATGGCTGCGTTTTATTGTTTGGCTGTTGGAAATCACCTCCGGAACTTGGTTTAATTTAATTAAAATATTGCTGCAGCAAGGGACCGTCCGTTTTCTTTCTCGGCTGAAACACGCAGGCTGCTGTCTATATTCTTGTCTTTGCAATTACCCTTGCATTTCCGTTTGAGGCTTTGTCAGTTATTATGATAGGTTGCTACTGCAAGCCCACCATAAAACTTTGTTCCATTTTATTTAATAACATCTTGCTGCGGTATACAAAGAGGCTGTTTTCCTTCTGCGCGGGGATACCCACACCAGGCACTGGTGATTTATGGCTGCATTAATTTTACTGATTTCTTTTCTGTTATTGTAAATCACCCAGACAATTTCATGAGGGCGTACAAGCATGCACACATATACATATACATATATATATATACATACATATGTACATATGTACATATATAGGTACATACATACATGTACACACATATATACACATATATGCAGATATAATATCTACACACATATACATAGACACACACAGGTCTACACATAACACACGCGCGCGCAACATAGCATCTCCCCTCCATCAAACCTTCTCCATCACTACTACCATCGAGGGGGCGGGGCCACAACCCGGAAGAGCGGGATCGGGGCGGAGTCAGGGCGTTAATTTAGCGCCGTGATGACGTACATTTCAACGGCCCTAGTAAAGTTGGCGTGTCGTCATCACCGCGGCGCCGCGGACTCTAACGATTGTTGCCATTTAGGCATGGCGGTAGTCGGAGGTTCTCGGGTTCGAGTCCTGCGGCTCCTTTTTGGTTACAGTTCCCGTGCTTGGTCAGCCGCGGCAGCGACGCAAACGGGTCCTCGAGGACTGGTCTATGAGAAGCATGGAGAGCCGGCTCAGGTCCTACAGTAAGCGGAGAAAGCTTGGCTTGCTTTTTGCCCCGAAGTGGGGCTGTGTTCTATAGACCAACCTTGGCAGCTTTAAGACTTGTGGACTTCAACTCCCAGAATTCCTCAGCCAGCAAAGCTGGCTGAGGAATTCTGGGAATTGATGTCCACAAGTCTTAAAGTTGCCAAGGATGGAGACCCCTGTTTTAGACAGGCATCAATCCCAAGTTACATTATTATGGCTTTTTATTATTCTATGCACAGCAGTGTGAAATCGCAGCTGCCGCATGTCTCATGGGCTTCCCAAGAACCTAGGATGTTTTAACTTAACGTATCAATGTGGTATATTTACGGATCCAGCCAGGGTAGCCTTTTTGCAATTGACAGATGGGGATATTGCCATGCACAGATTTTCCAGGATTTTTTGGGGGGGTGGGGTGGGGCATGGTACCCAGTGTGCTGAAAACCCCTGGGACCACTGTGACTGGTCTTACGCCATCATCTAGATCTTGATCCTTCATGAACTTCTCCAATTCTTGGTCTTCTGTTTCAACATCCTCTGATATTGCGTCAATTATCCACACTTCCTATTTTTTCCCCCAAGCAAAGTTATTTCAACCATTATGTTCCCACCATTTTTTTTTACTATTGGCACATGATAATTTTTGCAGATATTCCAGTGAATCAGTTTGACAACTGTGTTATGTTGTTTATTGACAATTTGGGAGAGCTTTTTTTTTTTTGCAGGACCTGAGTATATGAGCTACTGTGTGTGTGTGTGTGTGTGTGTGTGTGTGTGTGTGTGTGTGTGTGTGTGTTCCTAAATATTTCGAATACTGTGCATTGTAAGGCTATATCATTGACAGGAGAGAAGTAAAAAGATCCACACACATAAAAGTACTAGAAACAATAGTGGTAATGTAAGAGTAGTTTTAACTAAATTTCTCTTTATATTGGCTTATTTATACTTTTCATTATATTGGCATATTTATAATTATGAATCATATTTATATTCAATTCATACATAGTAGTGTTTCTTTTAGTTCTTTGCACAATCTGCACTTTGAATGGTTTGATGGTTTTTTTCAATTCTGACCTTGATTGCATTTGTGCATTATTATTTTGTCCTATCTATCTTAAGGCAATAAACATACCTAATATCTGTTCCTTCCTCCTATTTTCTTCATAACAACAACCTAGTGAGGTGGACTGAGCTCAGAGAGGGGGACTGGCCCAAAGTCCACCCCAGCTGGCTTTCATACCTAAGGGAAGTCTTAAATTCACAAGTGTCCTGATTTCTAGGCTAGCACCTTCACCATTACGTCAAACTATAATAGAGACTCTGGGGGAAAGGTTAGCAATACAAATAATCTATATTATTTTTATTGCTAACCTTTTCCCCATAGTCAGCATCAGCCAGACGAGTAGTGAAAGTAGGCTGTAAATGTACTAAGGACACTGCACTGTACTAAGGACACTATTTTCAAGAAATGTGGGTCATGGCAGGACAATAGGGCAGTCTCATGGATTTCTTTGCAATTTGCTAAGCTGTCCTGTGTTGTATTTCCTTCCAGTGTAGCTATTATTGTTGTTCCTATAATTTTGAGGGAATGCCTGCTGCAATTGAGACCCATGAAATCTGATTTTCAAAGCATGATTTAGGATTGGGTGATGTGTATGAACTCAGGCAAATTATGGCTGAATCAATTAAGTAAAAAATGGCTTGGTGTGTGAATAGAGTTTCTATGTTAGATGTGGAGATATCCACATATTTACTAAAATATAATATTTACTACCAGTAGTAAAGCAGTCTAAGGGCAGTCTAAGGGCCCCAGGGCATTCTAAGCATCTTAAAGTTGTGCTTGTTGAGCAATCTACAGAATATTTGATATCAACTAGAGCAGTGGTAGTCAACCTGGTCCCTACCGCCCACTAGTGAGCATTCCAGCTTTCATGGTGGGCGGTAGGGTTTTGCTGTAACTCTGCTTTATAAATTTTATAAAGTAAAGTTACTTCCCTATTTTATAGATCACCATTACTGTGGAACTGGTGGGCGGTTAGAAAATTTTAATACTACCAAAAATACAAAAGTGGGCGGTAGGTATAAAAAGGTTGACTACCCCTGAACTAGACTAACTAGAAATTAATAAAACAGAATAACAGAGTTGGAAGGGGTCTTAGAAAGGAAATTTCTCCTTAGTTCTAGGTTGGTTCTGTCCTTGATTAGTTTCTACCCATTGCTTCTTGTCCTGCCTTCAGGTTCTTTGGAGAATAGCTTGACAACAACAACAACAACACCCCCCCCCCGGTCTTCTTTGTAGCAGCCTCTTAAATATTGGAACACTGCTCTTGTGTCACCCCTAGTCCTTCTTTTCATTAGATTAGGCAAACCCAATTCCTGCAGTCGTTCTTTGTATGTTTTAGCTTCCAGTCCCAAGAGAGAGAGAACTAGCAAAATGAAATGCTGTAAATAAAGTCTAAGGTAAGAAAGTGGAGACTGGACAGTACATCTCACTTAGCTGTCATAAAACATTTGGAAAATGCTGCCTCAGGAGGGCTTATTCTTTTTTGATTCAAGCGAGTTGTGCTTACAGTGATCCTATACGCTTATTCCATCACTCTTTCTTTTGCAAGTGCTGCTGAGGTATTTAATTTGTGTCCAGAAAGGAAATCAAATATGATATTGGCCGTAAAATTCCCTGGCCAGCAGCTCGTAGATTAAGCGACAGGTTTCTTACACAATTTACATGATCGTTGCCATTATTCAGCTGAGTGGTATAATATATTTGAGCAAATCTGGACAATTAGGTTTCTGTCATACTTTGCAGGCTATATGGTAATTAATGGTCTGTCAGCATTTCCATTACAACATCAGTTTTTCAAGGGAGCTATAAATTATTGATTGAAAAAAGATGGTCTGTGCCACATAATGAGATGCATCTCATGTGGAATTTTTCTCTGTGCTGGTTTTATTGTATTTAATTCTTCATTAGCCACAAAACCTATTCATCCAGCATCTCTTAAGAGCATTGCAATTAGCCACATACCTGTTCCGGACTGGAAAAAGTTAGCGGACAAACACCCTAGAATTAAGCTGCAGGATTAAATCTACTAGCAAGATTTAATCGACATTACTGGGTTGAAATTTCCATTTGTAGCAGCCTTGGATTAAGTTGTGAAATGCTTTGGTTTGAGTAGGCCAAAATTGCCTTATCACAACAAACTACAATTCATAGCAAAGCAGGTTATCATTAGTAAAATACATGAATACATGAATCCTGTCCACAATTAACAATGGAATACTTAGGATGTGATGCTTAGATGATGATGAGAAAGAGAGACAGAGAGAGAGAGAAATGAACACTTCTAAAACTTGTTTAAAGTTTTAAAAGTTCAGCATGTGCTCTATTAGTTTAACAGCAGGTCACACATCAGCAATAGCACTTATATATTGCTTTATAGTGCTTTACAGCACTTTCTAAGTGGTTTTTAGAGAGTCAGCATATTATCCCCAACAATCTCGATCCTCATCAATCTCATCCCCAACAAGTTCACCCCGCAACCCTTGAAGAATGAAATATTTGGGGGGATATTAAAAGAAGCAGAATATTATATTTTTCCAAAGGGAGAAATGGAGAAACATGTTCCAGCCCCAATTTCCTGCCTACTAAAACAGCTTCCAGCAGAAATCTTTAGAGAGGGGAGATTTTGGGCCCATTAAGAAATCCCTGGGCCAATCTATTCCCAAACAAAACATCTTCAGCTCCAGGGTGATAGGATTAAGAAAGGAGAAGACATGACCTTTTAGGACATAGGATGAACCCACCATCATTTAGCAAAAGACACAAGGCCTTTCATTGCACAATCCCCAGAACAGTTCAAAACTTCAAAGTCACAGTAACCTATAAAACTCCATCCACTCATTCAACTATTTGGTCAGCTGCCCCAGAACTGGACACTGTGGTTCTGTTCATCAATAAACAGAGTCTTTCTTTCCAATCAGCCTCCATGTTATTTCCAGGGTCTTTCTCCCACCTTGGAACCAAACCAGATGGATTTTCCTTCCAACAGAAGGATGAAAGGCTGAGTCAACCTTGAGCCGGTTAGAACTGAAATCCTGGCAGTAAGCAGAGTCAGCCTACAATACGACATTCTAACCATTTCCTTCCCCACGGTATAAGATTTTGTTAAAAGAGGTTTCCTGTATTTGTATCTCTTTAGATTTCAAATCAAAGTTAGTACAATTGAATGTTACCCTACTAGCAAATTAAACTTGCTATCCCCATCCCAAAATCAACTTATTTCTAAAAAACTAGCATGTGTGAATGTTTTCTTTTTGCCCTACCTTATACCTACCTGTAAAAGGGACATGGTGGCTCAGTGGCTAAGACACTGAACTTGTCGATCAGAAGGTCGGCAGTTCAGCGGATTGAATCCCTAGCACTGCCTAATGGGGTGAGCTCCCGTTACTTGTCCCAGCTTCTGCCAACCTAGCAGTTCGAAAGCAAGTAGAAAAATAGGGACCACCTTTGGTGGGAAGTTAACAGCCCTCTATGCGTCTTTGGCGTTTAGTCATGCCAGCCACATGACCATGGAAACATCTTCGGACAGCGCTGGCTCTTCAGCTTAGAAACAGAGAAGAGCACCGTCCCCTACAGCCAGAAATGATTAACACATGTGTGGGGGGAACCTTTACCTTATACATACCTGTATTAACCTTGTTTTTTTTAACTGAAAGTAAATAAAGTTCCCTGGGTTTAAAATCGGTAACAGAGACATATTAGTTGACTTGTGGGTATAATATTAAGTATTTGGTAAACGATGAAAATTAATCTTTTTAGTCACGTCATTGTGAAGCTGCACCCCAAGGAAAAATTGGCTTTATTTTTCCCTTAAGGCTTTAAAGATCCATTCGTTTTTAATTTCTTCTAGCTGAGATGCATTTCTTGTATTGTTTGTTTGCTTGTTTATTCAATTTATATAGTCACCCAAATTTATTGTATTTTATGGACTGCCCTGAA